TTAATCAAAAATGAGGTTTTTATCATTTTAAATAATAACGATATTATAAAATTAAAATAAACTATATACCCACCCTACTACGTACGTCCACCAAATTTATTTAAATAACCCTAAATCAACTCTCGTCTCTCACCATTTCTCTCCTCTCTCTCACTGCTTGCCGCCTCCACCACCACCGGCCGTCTCTCCCCTCCTCCTCCCTCCCAACGACAACAGTGTCGCGACGCTGCTGGCGGATTTGTGTGTGTGGTTTTCTCAGTGGTGGTGATTTTGGTGTTATTGTTGGTTGCGATTTTGGTTGTGATTTTGCGGTAGTTTCTCGGTGGGGGATCTGATGGGATCTAAGGTATTTTGTGTGGTGGAATCTGTGGTGGTGGATCGGCGATTGTGGTGGTGGTCGTGCTTTGTTTGGTGGTTGTGGGTGGTGGTGGTGGCTAAAGTAGTGCCCGTGGTATGTGACCAAGTATTTGGTTATCTGTGACAAAGTATTTAACTATGACCAAAAATCTTGACAATATGTAACTGAAAAATAATCTGTAACCAACAAATTTGAAAATATGTGACCAATGAAATTAATCATTTTTTATCTATGACCGTAAAAAAATCTGTGACCAATTAATTTGAAAATCTGTGACTGTGTGACCTATAAATTTTGATCTGCGACCAACTAATTTTGAAATCTGTGACCAATGAATTAATTGTGACCTATAAAATTTTTGAACTGTGACCATAAATTGTAAATCTGTGACTAGAATGGTTATCGGAATAGTCGTCGGAATTGGAGCAGTCGTCGGAACGGTCGCCGGATAAGAGTGGTGGTCGGAATGGTCGCCGGAATAGTCCCCAGAGCTGTATGGGTGGTGCATATGGGATGAGTTAATTATATTCTATTAGAATTAAATATTTAATAATAAATTGATTTAATAATTTATTATTTCATAAATAAAAAATAAAAAAAAACTGATTTTTGAATTTTCAAACTATAAACCTAATTTTTGAATTGGTGTAAAGTATACATTTTATTTATGAATTTTTCCCAATATACGAAACGATCAAAATCTAAGGCCCATTTAATAATGCGAAGCCCAGTTTTAACATCAAAATTACCCTAATTTTCTCCAGAAAGCTTAAAAATACCTATCTACAACATTTTCAGTAATATTCATTTTCATTAAAACGACTGTTTTGAAAATCGACTTGAGCATTGATCTGGGAAAAAGAAGATGATCAAAGTGAAATGGTCGAACCAAAAATTAAAATAATTAAATAAAAAATCATAATATTGATATATCCTATTAAAAATTTATATTAATAAAGAAGTTATTTTAATATTCATTAATTTTTCAATATTCATTTAACATCAAATTAAACTAAGCATTTGTTTGATCTCCATTTTTTTAAAACTCATTTTTAAATACGTACATTTTTAAATAAAATAATTTTACATATAATCTCAAAATGTTTCTCTACTTTTTAACTATACATTTTTCAAAAAATTGCTATTACAAAATTTGTTCTCAATATAAATGGGGTCGAACAAACCCTATATGAACTCAAATCCTATCAATAT